GAAGATACCAAATACACTGCGACATAATGACAGCAATTACTGTGTTAGAAAGGGATCTAGTTCAAGGCATTCTGGGTTTTTTTTGCTAGGAATGCTGAGTTTCTGCTAACATAATCAAATGGTGTAGGAGTGTCTCAACTTCAGACTAGACTACTTAATTAGAGGCACAGTTATTACTAGAAAACTGTCACAGAACAGTACATATTCCTGCAGAGCCCATTAGAGAAAAGGAATATAAAAGTCACAGAAAGTTTACAAGATTCACAGATAAGTTCCTCTGAAAAAATTAACTATTTTCTGAATTTTAACGAACAAAAAAAAGCTAGGAGACAACATATACCCTAACAAGTGTTTTTGTTAATAATTGAGATGCACATTTTTGTCTGTGATGAATAAGCCAGATTTCTTTAAGAAGCCTCATAAAAAGTTTTCCTTCGTAAAGTGATTCTATTTGGAGTTGCAAATGCCCCTCAGATTCATTACAATAATAACGAAGATTGGAACAAAATATTGTATGTTTCACCTGGCTTTTACAGTATTCCAAGATAAAGTTAATACAATAAAAATTATAATTACAGAAAATCTGAGTGATCACTTTTTTAATACTTCATATGTGAAAATAAGTGTTACGGTTATGTTTTAAAATAGCAAGTAAAACCAGTGAAAAGGTAACAGCTTTCCACCATTCCCACTAATACTGTTAATGACTATTTTACAAGTGTTTGATTGCAAAACAAAGGCAGAAGATACCATGATTTTTTTCCAGTAGTCTAAGTTACAGTAGTATGAAGTTTGTTGTTTCTTAAGAAATTATTGTACCTAAACAATAAAATATATCCTATTTTGTCCAAAGTGTCACCATTAGCAGACTGGAAATTGCATATCCTTTGCCTTCCCTCATAAGAAGACCCTGCACCTTTCTCAAGCAGAGAACTCCTTTCTCAAGATAGGTATCAGAATATGCATCTTTCTAAATGCCTCAAAAAACAGAACTACAAATCTAGTGTGAGTACTAAGTGCAACTAGAGCTTTTTGCTATCATAACTGTTTAATAAATCCAACACTGACACAATATTAAGGTAGCTACTGTTTTCACTCTTGCTTTTCAAAGTTCATTGCAACTTGCATGGAGTCTATTCACTAGTTTAAAACTTTGTCAGGAAGATATTCAAACATTTGCACTTGGGCAGGTTTTTTTATGTTTTGGTGGTTTTTTTGGTATTAACAAATGAAGAGGAAACTGCGGAAATGATGATGAAATGGAAGCATACCCCAACTGCTCAGTAATTCAGAAAGTGAAATAATAAAGAAATACATAATCGACATTCTTTAGCTGAGAATAAATATGGCCATGTACTAACAGATTAAATAAACCAACATACAGTTCCCAAAAGCACAGGTTGCAAGGCAGTTACATTTTAAATCACATACTCTGGAGCATCAAATGTGATGCAAGAACACCACTGGCCTACAGCATAGTCACTACTTAAAACATATCAAAGCTAGTTTTATTTTTTTTAGCTGTGGTACTCCTAGCACTAGAGCTATAGTAGCAAATAACTCATCAAGAGTTGCTGCAATCTGGCAGGGAATCACGATAGAATCACAGAGTGGTTTGGGTTGAAAGTGACATTTAAAGCTCTTCTAGTCCAAACCCGCTGTAATGGGCAGGGACATCTTCAACTGGATCAGATTGCTCAAAGCCCCATCCAACCTGGCCTTGGATGTTTCCAGGGATGGGGCATCTACAGACCCTCTGGAGTGGTGTAAAACCTTAGGCATGTAGCCCCCCCAAGCAAGTTCTGTATTATTTGTACTAGCAGCAACCAGTCAAAAACTAGATCAAGTACACAGCAAATGCCGTGCAGGCATATTCCTTGTTTCTACAATGTTCTTTTAAATTATATTCTGTATTTCTTCATTGACAGTCTTCCAGATTTAGTAATATGAACTCATACTTACTTTTCAAAACACCCTTTAGATTAATTGGCCAACAAATTGTGCATAATTAGAGCAAGAGTAGCTGTTGGTCAGCAGTGAACACTATGGATGAAATCTGACTTCACCTAACAACTCCTTACTTAAACACCCAACATGCAAGGAGCATGTGACACTGAGGACCTCCAAGCACAAATCAGAGAACTCATGAGAGACAATCAGAGCTCCAAGTCTCACGCTTTCAAAAAGCAGCCCCTGGTTACTCCATTACTGCACTGCAACATCAAAAAAGGTCAATGGATTCCCACCACCCTGAGCTCAGAATTTCTATGTTAACAACTGAAATCCCACTGCCATCAATTTATATAGCCAACTCTTCAAATTATTGCATCCCAGTGAAAACCGGACGGAGGGCTTACACCAGGGACTAGTTAGCTTTTGTATATAACATCTTAATCACAAGTTTCCACTGAAAATTCTGTTTGCAGCCACTCAACTGAATCCCGAGGGGGGGAAAAAAATCAGGTCCCAAAAAGGCTCGAAGGCAGTACTGCTCTCTGAAGGCAGTAGGGGATAGGTAAGGATACTTCACACATACTCAGAAAACAAACATTCCTTCTATAATTTTTCCATTAGCACTGAATTAGATCCCTTTGCAGTGACATTTCAAGAGTTAAACAAAGAACTTGAATCTTAGTTTATGCAAAGATTTTTACAAACAAATTTTTGACCAATTAAATGAGGTACAAATTTTAAAAATAGAAATATCAAGTCTAAGAACATTAATGTGGATGGATGACCAAGAACATACATGACCCTTTTAACTTAAGGCTGAATTAAGGATAGCATTTCTAAGTAGATCCAAAATAAATTAAATAGGTGCTAACATAAAGTTGCTGAAGAAAAATTTGAATTAAAAGTCTGATTTTCTCAAATTTGAGGCCCTGAAACAGACATAAGGTTTTGATCAAGCTTTTACAGAACACAAAATGCCCCAAATAAAAAAGTGCCCTCTTACACGTAATCTGGAAATTGCATGAGCTTGAATACATGTGGTCATGGTTGTTGTTCAGTGTTTTCACCTAAGAAAAGAACGGACAATTATTTTATGTCTGCCAATTTATTGATATAATTAATTCTATACCGACAGAGTAATTTTTCTCCTTCATAGTAACAGCTCAGCGTTTTAAAACAGATAGACCAATATATTAAAAATACCACTACTGTTAGAACACATGATATACTAAATCACAGGAGGTAGTTAGATCCCCATTAACAATTGCTTCAGGAAGCAAAGACTACTTTTAAAAATTAGTATAACACCTCATTCATGAAAATTTACTTTTCAGAATTATTCACTCTTAGCTGCTTTAAGGGAGGTCTTTTTTTTAAAGCATAATAAAGAATTTATGATAGAAACATGTTCTCTTTCCTTTTTCAACATAACATTGCAATGAGCACATAAGAAAACTCCCAAGTGGTAAAGACTTAGGGCACACTGAAACAAAGCAATGTTTTAAATTAATCAAATTTCCAAAGATATAATGAATTTGTCAACACCTTTTACCTTCTGATTACACTTGAAAATTCATTCAACTAACTACATTTTAAAAAAAGTATCTACACCAGTGAAATTAATGTGAAGCTTTTTACACAATTAATAATTGGCATTTCTGAATGGCATTCAAATGAATAAGCATTATTTGTTTTGCAACAACATACTGCAAAATACAGGCACCTTAAAAAAGATACATAATGCAACAAGGGCATTTGGGACATCAGAAGTGTTTACCATTATCTACTCATGCTATATATTTCCCTTCTTTTAAAGAAATACTCTACAATTTGAAGCCGTGCCTGAGTTGTGTGCAAATTATAATATTTCAGCATTTAAGTCAATTTTCACATTATATATCTTCTACAGTTACAAAAACATTAGTGTGCCAAGATTTTTCAACCATTACTGTAAAAATCTTAAGCAGACATTGTATCTTCAATAATGTGTTCTTGCTATTGCACATATGCTCATATGACAGTGAAACTCTAGTCCATATTCAATTTCATCTATTTACACATGCTAAAATAATTTATCTGCACATAATGTTGGAAAAGAAAAAAGATAGCCTCTCTTGACTAATACACCTTGCTACAAAATTTATGTCAACTGATTTCATAGAACCATAGAATACAAGGTTAGAAGGGACTTCAAAGATCAACTTGACAAAAGCTCCACCTAGACAAGCTGGCCCAGCACCCTGTCCAGCCAAATCTTAAAATTGTCCAATGTTGGGGAATCCACCACTTCCCTGGGGATATTGGTCCAATTATTGTTCTCATTGTTAAAATTTTTCCTCTTTTGTCCAATTAGAATCTCCCCCAAAATAACTTGCACACATTACCCCATATCTTTTTCATATGATTCCTTGTAAAAAGGGGGTCTCCATTTTCTTAGAAGCCACCATTTAAATACTGGAACATGTATTTTATGATTTAATGAAGAACAGTCTACCACTCAGTCTTTATGATTATGCAGGGTCTGATTCAAAGACCACTGAAGCCAAAAGAAGTCTTAACTTAATTCAGTCAATTTTGGACTAGGCATAAAGTTCAAATAGAAAAATTATAGAAAGTATTTAGTATAGTAATTGATATAACTGCACTTTGGATGCATTAAGATGCTCTCACAGCATCTGTTAAAATACAAAAAAATTCGTTCCAAAATATCCCCTTCTTAAAACTTACAGTGTTACAGTTCAAGTTGAGTCCTAGGTATATATATATCAAGTTTACTCTCTATTAACTTAATTAATAGTTTTTTCCTTTTGGTCATAACACAAAAGCCCACACTGATACACAACAATATCTACAACAGAGGAAGCATATTCTTGTCATAAGTAGTAAAGTCATCCTACAAGTGCATTTCCAAAATAGTTGTTCCTTCATATTCTTTTTTTTTGAACAAAAATGGTCTTTTCTAGTTCAGCAATATTTTGCAAATACAGTATTTCCAGGCAATGAGTAGGAGATATATTTCCACTGAATCTTCTTTCGCTTCAAGAAGTTTAGACATCATCAAATATTTTGCTTCGAGACATTGACAGGTATCTTCCACCAGGCTGGTACCTGCAGAATTTATTTTAAAAATGAGAAAGTAACACAGGAAATAGAAAAATAATCTGATTAAATTATTTAAGTCTCACTGCACTATTACTCCATAACTCTTAATTAATTACAAGATCTGAAGTTCTACTGAATTTCTGTTTCCGTGACAGTTTGGCAGGCAGTCACTAAATTAAATCTCATGTAATCAGGAAAAAATTATATGAATACTGGGACTCTTAAATAACCTTGTTTCCTGATACAAAGGAAACAAGTTGAATACTTTTGTTGAACAGAATTATTTTTTTTTAAACAAGACAAATCAATATCCACAGGTAGTCTGGGTGATTAACAGAACATTGCACTGGATATTCCCAGGAGAAATAAGAGTATCAAAGATAACAAAAACAAATGGCTGCATATTTAGTTGGGAAGAAAGAAGCCTTGCAAATTGTTGGTCAAATTTATTTTAAGAGCATTTTTAAAGTACAAAAAAGTTCCAATGTAAGCACAACGTACCTCCTGTGTCCCTGGTACTCTTACTGTCTTATAATGCTGTAATTATTGATGGGCTTACAGTTTTAAAAATCGATGTCACACAGGCTATTTTTAAATTAATTGGAGTTTCATATGCTATTATTCTTTCTTTATTACCTCTATGAAGTTAAATGCAGGTTATTAGAGGAAAGCTCAACTAAGCTCCAGATTTTGTTTTTAAAGAAAAAGTTCAGAGCGTTCCACTCTGCTAAGTCCACACGGGACTTCAGACACTGTACCTGAAAAGTATTTGCTGTCATGTAACATATGCATATTCCTATTTTTGTAGACAATTATCCCTTTCACACTGTATAGAAGTCAATAGCTGATAGACTGGTAGGCTAGCTGCTATTTAAACTCTTGTGCTTAAAACAAACCAACTTTTGAAATGCGGTGACAGCATACTACTCCATTTAGCTGTTGATAAAAATGAACATGGTAAAAATGAATCAACCACTGAATACACACCCAGCAGTGTATTTAACTGGAATTAATTTGTTGACGTTGTATTATGACATTTGGGTAGGCTAGTTCTAGCCGAAAAATAATGTGAACTATGACTTTTTATAAGGGAATTTAAATTATTTATCATTACATGGTTCGGCATCATATCTAGCTGGATAAAAAAGGGCCCCTAAAATGTATTGCTTCTTAAATATGAACAGAGCTTAGCAGTTATATAAAATACTCCATTTCACGACTTAGGGAATTTGGTACTGCAATCACATCCACAGACTCTCAGAATTCTCTATTACAGACAGAGCTACACTGTGCAGTCTGACTTTTTGTTCAATAAACCAATTTTAATTTACTTCAGTAGTTCCAAAATCTGATGCCCAGGTGTACTGCTGCTACTGCTGGTCCTGTAATACTCTGTTTTCTTCCGTACAGCCCTTTGTGATGGTTTTTATACAGGGAAATCAAGTGAGCTTTCTGAAGTCTTGTAGGAAATAAAAAAAAACCTTAAAACTATTGTAGATATGCAGGTAATTCTCCAGTTTTCTGGATGGTATACAGTATTTTTCAGATAATGCCAATATAAAAAATTATATGGAACTCAAATCTTACTCAGACAATTCTAAAAAACTGAAAACATTTCAGGTTTCAATTGGTTTCAAAAAAATTCCCAAAACATGGAGGAAAAGGATGAGAGGAAAAGAGCTGTATGAGATGATAAATTTTGTTTACAAAACTATTATTATGAAACCAACTGATGTAGCTGCCATAGGTCAGAAGACAGACTAAATTAGTATCCTTTAATTGTGCATAACACAGATGATCACTTACCTTCCTGAATCTGATTCAAGTGGGTCATCATTAATTGAGTCTGCATTAAAATCCAAAGGTTCTGCATCCTGGAGGAGTTCTATTCTATCTCTTTCGGTCCTGCCATTTGATCGGGTATACTTTGATAATGCTGAACAGGTAAAAGGAAGGAAAGACACTGATTTTCTCTATGAACACCTTGGAATGTGGAGACATCAGACTTAAAAGATCAGAATAATAATTTGCTCATCCAAATAATAATAATAATAACAACAACAACAATAATAATAAAAACAATAATATCAATAATAATAATATCTAATCCAAAGTGTAAGTGTAATGACTTAAAGTAGATTCAATATTAAACCAAACCCAGCAACATGCTCAAATTCATGGTATTTCATTTTTTTTAGCTCCATAGCAACCTAACTATAACTTTCCTTTTGCCCCTCACGTAAGAAGAAATTGACTTTGCAGAAAAGTAAAAGAAAATAAGTAGCCATATACAAACATTATTTTTAAATCAATCAATCATCCATTCATCTTCCCGACTTCCCACTTTAATTAAGCTAGCTGGGGCTTTTTTATTGCTTGTTTGGTCTTTTTTTTTTTAAAGAGGCCATCTCATGAATTAATGAAATGTAGATGTTCTGCAGCTCACTCTGCCTCCTTAACCAGGCCAGTACTTAAGGTTTCTTTTGGTGTTGGAATGGTACATATTCATATGGCTAACATTAAAATCCAACTTCATATGGTTTCCGCTAGTCTGTCACAGAAAATCTGGGTCTTCAATTTTGTAAAGAGGATGGAGAAATGTAATAGAATTGTCTCAAAAGCATGTTCAAAGTTTCTCTCCTCCCTATTTTTTTCCTACTTTTTTTTCAGTTTCATTTATCACTTGTTGTTTGTTAGTTTACAAGAGCACACAAAGTACACAAAAAACATTACCATTGTGACAAATTAACTTTTTGGAAGTTTAGCGAATCCAGAAAAAAAGAACAGATACCATTAAATGAACATGTATATGCTTATGTGGTATGTTACTGGCTTTACACTTGTTGGACGTTTAGTTGCTGGTTTCATTATTCCAGTCAGGGAATTCATTTGCAACTACAGGAGGTAAATTTTAAGATATACAACTCCCACCCTCAAGACGGATCCTAAATAAAGTATCTTTGCTGACAACTGCTACTCTATTGCAATCATTATACATCCCATAAAATCAAGTAACTGAGACCAGCCAGAATCTCCAACCTCTACTAGATGGAAATTTTGAAGACGGGAAGAAATACAGCACCTCTTTTGAGGTGTCTTTAATGGGCAAGATGGCATTTTGCTACAGAAGGGAATGTATCACCACATCATCTAAGACAAAAAGCTATTTGAAACTGCTCACACAGCCAGTGTTGGGCAGACAAGATACTATAAAAATAACCAAAACAAAGTCTCTCCAAAACCCACAAACCTTACCTCTATTGGTGCTGGTCTCTGAGAAGCTGGATTCTTTTTGGTCTGTGTGGACAACTCTGTTTCTAGTAGAATCGTCTCTATTTCCATATCGCTCCTTCCATTCCTGGAGAGAGGAAAAAAAACAACAAACAAAGGAAACATCATCTGTGAAGAAAAAGTAACACAACAAAAGCATAATAAGCAGGATCAAGAAATCTTCCAGACCCACAATTTATAGCTAATTGGTTGATCACATCAGACTATTAAAGTAATACTTCAAAAATGTTCCTGTACAGTATCTTGATACAGGAAGAATTTCTGTTTTCTTTTAAACTCAATACATGTCCTTAACTAAACTGGTTACCGTAACTGTTCTTTTTCTAGAAAAAAGTCTTTAGAAAACAAACAGCACATTAAATCTGCACTCTAAGTTCACTCAACTGCTTCAAGTTACAATAGGAACGTTGCTTTTTTAAATTTCTACTTCCATCTAGTGGTAGAATGGTAAAATAATCAGACACAGATAGCATCAAAACAAATTTGGACTGGCCATGTTTACCAAGCTTGTTGTTGTGTTTCCATTCCACTCCATCATGTTTTAGTATGTAAACATCTTAGTATCAAGTATAATGAAATGCTAAAGAAGAAAATGTTTCATGCTTTTATGAAGACACAACTTCGCATCTCAATAGACTTTTCCAATTGCTCAAAAAACTTTTATATACTTCAGATTTATACCTAGATCCCAGATTATGGACTGGTAGGAATAGGTATACAGTGCTAATTTATGCCATATGTTACACTTCTAAGCTGCAGAAGGATCAAGCATTTAATCATGCTCCTGTAAAAGACAACACTCTTAAAAGCCCTACAATTTTCAAGCATGTATGTGCTGCTAGAGTATCTAATGCACTCAAAGCCAAGTAACATCTAAAGTTGAGTTTGCTCTTGAACTAAAAGTGTTGTGTAATGTCAGATCATTTCAGTGTATACTGAATGCATCAAACATTTGCTACTACTTGGTTTCACAAGTTTGAGCTCAAAAGTTACAAGATGGGGGGCAAGAGGATCAGTTCTATGCAGTAATGGCTGTCACCTATAATTGAAGTATTCTTGAGCTTGAAAACCCAAGAGATTTTAGTCCCAGTATTATCTTGCTTTTCTGCACAAAATACTTTTCTCTTCCTTTAGTCAGTTCTTTTTTTGCAAGCCTCCTTTCAGTTTAACTCTTTGATTGAGATGCTCTATGCTAAATTCAAAATGTTACAAATTCATGAAAAACTAAAGCTATTGTTAAAATGAAGTTGCCTGAATTAGGTTTTATTAGGTTTTATTCCAAATCTTTCAATTCAGTATGCACTCAAGAGTTCAATTTGAATCAAACATTCTGCTTGTTGCTCAGTGGTAACAGCATTCATTCTGTCCTAAAGGCAATTCTCTCCTCTGAAAAAAAAATAAAAATCTGTGCCAATTATCTTCCAGTGAGCACACAAAGCAATGGGTAAGTTGACACTGCAACTGCAATTATGTCAAGCAGAGCAGTATCAACATAAGAGACTGACAATAAACCATTTCAGATTACTCTCCAACCTAGAAATCAGGACACCTTCTATTGCTTTTTATACCTATTGGCACACATGGTTCTCAAAGCACAGTGAGTAGAATAAATTTCCAAGTAGTGAGGCAAGACTCACTCTAATAAAAAAGTAAATTATTTTTTCTCCTCAGCCAAGACTATTTTGCAAGATTCAGCTGATTCCATCGATTATTAGAGACTTATCTAATTGTGGAACAGATTATGCTGAATTAAACAGTAATGGCAAATCCTGCCATATATTACAGCATATTAATATTATAATCAGGTAATATAGTATCATACCCTCCTTCTGTTTTCACCTTCTTCCTGCCTTTGTCGTTTTCTTTTCTCTATAAATAAAAAAAAAATTGTCTGAGCACCGTAAAATAAAAACAATTACCAGTATTTTTTTAAACAATGGAAATTCAAAGTTAATTAGGGAAGATTCTTATTTAAAGAGGTGGCTTATACAATTAAATAAAAACAAAGCACAAACTCCCTGTCTATCGTTATGAAGTCTCCCATTAAAATTAATTACTTATAATGCTATCTTGGGTCAAGGCATAACATTTGGATACCAGCTGGGAAAGCAAAAAAAAAATACCAAACCACAAACCACAGCATATCAGAAATAGTTGGAAAAGGTATGACATTAAGAATAAACTGCAGCATTATTGAACCAAAATCTTGCTGAAGTTTTGTGAGGCCCAAAGTATGACTGACCCAAATGGTTTGTAACCTTCTCTGCTATTAAGCTGGAAGTGTGACATGATAGTACCAAAGAAACAGTAACCTCTTGCTTATGGGAATGAGAGAGATTCCTTTCTTGAAATAAAGAAATACTATTATTCTAAGTAAATCTTGGTTTTGTTTTTCTAAAGTATGAACGGAGAATGCAAGTTTTCCATAATATAACATTGTATCCAGAGATTTAAATTTCTATACATTTACTCAAGAACCACACAGCTTTAAACAGCCATCAAAAAACATTTTCCATAAAAATAAACATGAAAAAATTACATAGCTCTTCAAAACAGGAGACAATTACAATTCTACAGAATAACATTGCTTTTTGATAAATCACAGTTAGTTGAAACAACAAAAAAGCTTAAAGGAAATTAAAGAATGAGAGCAACTCAATCAACACATACAAAGAAAGATCAAAATATGCCTGTTGATGATAAACACAATGTAAGTGCTAACTATCCGTTATGACAGATTACACAAGCACCTGCTCAGGTATTATTATTACATCAGTAATTACTTCAGAGAAGCACCACTTAACTGAACTCTAAAACATTTGGAAATACCTGAAATTCAAATACTGTATGAGTAGAACTGACACATTACTTCAGATGTAAGTGAGGTCCAGAACTGCTTTACAGCAACCACGAGGCTCTAAGTCTCTTGCAGCTTGGCACTAGACTGCCTCAGTACAGTTTTCAAACTATTGACAAGCTGTATGCTTTTTTTGTGTTTAACACTTCAGACAAATTGAATTCAACAATATATTACATTTAGCAGGAAGACTGGGATATAGGACCTAACTTACCTCTTCTGATTAGCTCTTTTCCTTCATCAATCAAATCAGAGGTCATTTCACTATCCCCCATGAACTGCTGGAATCCCAGAAGATTCAAACAACGAGTTCCTAAACTGGTAAAAGCAGCAGAAGAAGCAGTTTGCTTTTTTAATTTACAAGTTTAGATATATTGCACTGCAGAATGTAAAATGAAGTATTTGGAAATGTATGGACAATTCAAGTAAAAATGCAATATAGAAGACAGATAATTATACTAAGAAATCAGATAACTCAGAATGGTCACACATTCCTAAATACAATTGGATGTGATAGAATAATCTTTTCCAAAAAGAGAGCTAAATCCCTATAGTCTGAGAATACTGCAAATTATTTAAAATAAAGCAATTGCTTGAAATGTTTCCAGATATAATAGAATTTATACATCTTACATGTAATTTATTTTTCTTTGCCAGAAGACAATTACTACAAAAATTATGCCTATTATGATTTCTGTGTTTTTGAAACAGTAATAACATAGGAAAGCTACCTTCATCTCAGGTTTACACAGGAGAAACATGTATCATGCTCTTTTAGCTGTAAGGATGCCTGCTGACATTTCTGATACCCATCAGGCTGCAGCAAGATAATAAGCTTGCTCCACCTTTTTCAAGCTATTTCTGGAACTAGATAGCATTAAACAACTTTCACCTTTTCAACTTCACACTGGAGAACACAACTGATGGTTTTGTTATTTTCCTCTCTCCAAACTGGAGACTACCTGAACTTTAAGACTGATGGATTAAACAAGGGAGACAGATTTCCTTGATACATTTTAACTGAAGATTCAGTTTTACCAGTATCTAAATTATTACAGAGCATTGTATTTCAAGCATTAAATTTCAGTTTCCTCTCCTTTAGTTTATTTTTGTTCATTCACTGTTGCATTCAATACTCAGGATGATCATGGACAAGAAGTCACACAAACTATTTTTTTGTCGTTGGCTTTCCTGTTTGCTTTTTGTGGATGCTTTGGGGTTTTTTTTTGCCTGAAAGTATGCAGGGAAAATCTAGGACTGGATCCCTGTCATCTTAGTATGGATGGATGCACATAAGGTATTAATGGACTTTGAAGGCTTTTAACTACATTCTACATGACCCAAAATTTACACATGGATTCTGACTGAATGGTACTGCGAAACTGAAGCAGCAAACATAAAATTAGCCAAGCAACATCAGATCAAAAGTATCTCTACTCTTACAATGGCCAAAAGGCAGACATTTTGAAATGTAAGGATAAAGCAAGCATGTAATGGTATTTTCTTTAATTAACCTTCCAGCCTGCAACTGTGGCATAAGGTAACACAATGAGATTATTTAAATCATTGTGCCTTCAAAGTGGGAGTCGGTTAATGGATCAGAAATATTCATTACCTAAAGGTTCTGCTAATGCTTCTTAGTTTATTAGTAAACCTTCCTGAAAACATTAACTTCTCTAGTTAATTTTAAACTAAATGTCTGTGAGCTCCAAAGTTTGAACAGATCAGATATCAAAATATAGCAATGCAATTTAATGGGGAAAAAATCCCCATAACTCAGTGATGAGTTGATACAACTGAGACTTTTAAAATGTACACGTCACATATATAAATAGCAATTTGCTGATTTAGGTTTTCCCTTTTCTTTAATAAGTCTCAACTCAATAGCTGGAAAAGGAGAAGTGAATCTCCTCCTGGTTGCTGAAACAAGTATTACTAACACAAAAAACCATGGAGGAGTGCCAATCACTTACCTAAAGTATGTAGCAATACAGAGAATGACAACAAGCATTGGGTAATATATATAGAATCCATCTGCAATGAAGGACAGCACCCTCATGGATCCCATTATCTAGGTAAAAAAATCCACAAAAATAAGCTCTTACCATATTTATTCTATATATATCCATAAAGATTGTGCCATCTCACTGTTTTCAGTCAACAAGACACAAACCCACAGGCGTTTGCAGTTACTGAAACATCAATAAGTATGATTATCACAGATGTGATTCAGACAGTTGACCCAGAATGCCCAGACATTAAGGACATCTCTAAGAGTGTATCCACTTGAGAGGTTTCTAAGGCATTAGATCTTGTTGCCTCATCTAATCCAGAACCTCTTCAAATTTGGTGGATATTTTCACCTGTTGTGAAAAGGGTCTCTGGACAACACAAGGAATCTACTTGCTAACAATGAAGATGTGAGCTGTTAACTGTCCTACAGAAATTGGATGCTCAGTAAAATGAATCTTGCTGGTTTTCAGAGGCAAGTAGTCTACAAAGATGACCCAGATGCTAAAACCAGTGGAAGCTGAAGTTATTAGAAAGGGAACAACAGTCTGAACACTTTGGTATAATATTTTACTTTCTTAGGATAAAGGAACCAAAACAGAAAAATTGGGCTATTGATGACTCCTATTTAGCAATCATTACCCAAAATCATACAGTATGCTTATTTATATCCTGTTTAATACTGCAGAAACAAGTTCAATATCTGAATCTTATTATAAGAAGTCCTTAAAATTATTTTACCTATTCTACAAACCATGCAGAATGCTCAAGAGCACATTTTCTATACTTACAGATGTATAAGCAGTTGGCTGAGTGTTTTTGTGAGAGATTGTTGCATCCATGTGGGTCAAGCCCAAAAAGTTCAAGCATAATGGTGGAGTAAGACGGCAAAATAACCTGCACAAATGCAAGAGGTAACAGCATTTAAAACAATTTCTTGCACTAAAAATATTAATAAATTATAACTGAATATATCACAGAATCATAATGCACAGCTCATTAGGATTTATACCCATATGATTATAAATGAAAGAATATAAGTGGAAGTTTCATGGACATTTTCAATGGAATATTTCACAGAAAATCTGCAAAATATATGCCACATACTCACATGCCACTGAAAAGGAGACTGTAAGCATCTGTCTGATGATGTGAAGCTAAGTAATAATAGTTAAATACACGGATCCTGAAGACAGTAGAGTAAACACAGATACTTAGGAAAAAGATTGTAAGAAAACAAGCCATCTGGGGAAAAAAAAATAATAAAACAAACCTTGTTTGAATGTAGAACTCTACTAAAGATTTTAGTACATTCAGCACAAAGTCTCTGCATCCTACAGGTTGACTATAGTCTAATTTTTCATTTTGAGATGGGACAATAACACCAGCTCTGAGAATTTTTAGGTGGCTTTTTTGACTAGTTTGAAAAGGATGTATGTAACATTCTGCACTTCACATACGCTAACAGAACTACACTAACACAACTGACCCTAAGAACATTGATTTTCCTTCTTTTTGTTAGGTAAATGAAAATGCTGTAATTGCCTCACTAATTACTATGTCTGATTTGACATTTATTCCCACAATAAGTGCTAAAAACAAGTGTTTTCAATTCAGCTTATTTTGTTAATACAATAGAATTTCTAGCTCAGCTTCTTTACTGATAAATTTGTGCACTCATATGCTAGCCACGCCTGTGACAGGTTTTCTGGTCAGCAGCAAATTCCTGTTTAGGAATGAGAAGTCACATACATGGTCAATTAGACACAAAGTCTAGACACTTAAGCTCCAAGCTAATGTATCACAAACTACTCTACACATTATATTCAGCTCAACTGGCTCACACCTTCACCCCATACCGGAGAGTTCTAAAAAGTGGCAAAAGGCAGACAGAGTCCCTCCACAGAAACAGTTTGGCATTATACATTTCAGACACCCTCTGAATGTTGACAGACTATTAATTTTATGTTTAAATCAATCTACTACTATTACGAATCAATTTATGTGAAAATATTTTTGTTATTTTCTCAAACTTACCTCTATGTATATATAATTGTATGTCTTCTCTGCCAGCTGTATGAAAACTGCAAACAGCGATAAAACAGGGTTTGTGCTGAAAAATGTGCATTCTGACCACACAACAATTACAGAGAATGTGGCCAGAACAACTGCAAGCACCCTGTAAAACCATGGTCGTAGAAGACATTCCCAGTACCACTCTGGAAAAAAAGAAACACACATACATCCACCATGTGCTAATGCAAATTACACAAACAGAAACGGAAGTCCCTCACAAAAACTGAGCTTCTTGCATGCAGGCCCTTTAAAATCAAGGCTGGAATCCGAGGGGCCACACATTTAATTTCAGGGCTTTTTTACATTCTCTATCCTGGAAATAACTCACTGCTAGTGCACAACAAATTAAAAGTTAAAACTAATGCTTGATGAGCCCCTTCCCTTTTGCTTTACTATTAGAGCGGTGCCATCTCAGTAATATCCCACAAATGTAGAAGGCAGCCACGATCCAATAATTTGAAGCTGCTGTTTCTTTCTAAGGCTCCACATTTTGCTATTACAACATAACTGATATAAATTTGTAAAAAAAAAAAATTGAAGCTTATGGTCAAGAACATAAATCGGTACCTGATTAATTATTTCATTACATAAATGCATTAGGATGCACATTTGCATAAAACAACTGGTTCTTCTTACAAAATGGTACCAGCTACTCCTTTCTATATTCAGAATCTGCATGACAGCACTTACCAACTGTTGGTGTGTATAAATACTGAATAATTTTATTCTCTGGTTCCTGGGAATGAAAGGTATGAACAAACTGTCGAGTTGCACTGCTTTCATTTTTTGCCACATCTTCTAGATAAAACGCTTGTTCTAAGAGAATTTGCCACTGAACCTGTGTACGGCGATGTCTCTGTACTGAATAGATTACCTACAATAAATTTCAAGAAATCATGGTTACAACATACTAGTTTCAAGAAATAAGAGAAAAGCTTTGCAAAATCCCTGAAATATCTACATTACAGAATTGCAAAGATTAATTCTGTATACCCAAAAAGCAATTCCTTAAAATTCTTTAAATAAATGATTTATTTCTTTAAATACATACATAATAAGAGGACTACATACATAATTTCTAAGTTTTGTAGTTCTCTCATCATAGTCTTACCTGTAGCAGTAACAGCCTATTTTGTCAAGGATGCCATTTTATTTTTGCATCTTAGTGAATACCGAGCTTTTACTAACAATTTTTTTTTTTAATGCACTATTAATCAACCATTACAAGGCTTACCCACAGACAGTTAAAACACAGTCAAGATAAAATGCAACAAGAACACTTTTTACACATTGAAAATTTTGATCTGGACATCACTTGGGATAATAAACTTCTACGTTTCCTTTCACTGAGAAAAGTTTTTGTTGAGTAACATTCCTATAACCCACTATACTCAGCAATTCAGGTAAAGTGCACTGAAAAATCTTTATTTGACTAGCATTTATTCTCATTATATTAGCATAAGTGAGGCATTCCTTCATTTATCAATATACCTGCTTGTGAAGTTTCACCAAACTTTTTTCACTTGGGTAACTGTTCTGTCTTTCATCAAAATCTTCATAATCATCCATGTTCCTACCCATTCTCTCCTGATACTCAGTAGGACACTGGAAGGAAAAGGGAAAATTAACTGAAAGATGGAAGAGCAGCAAGTGCTCTTTGTTAATTATGTGTATATGTTAGGGGACCTTCATGCAACTGAAAAGCTCAACCTAAGCATAGGTTTTTCTGTTTCTAAAATACTACCTATGTCAAAATACAGCAGATAACTGCATACATCATAAGGAAGAATACCACAAAGAATCACAATTCAAAGTCTGAGCAGAAACCAGAAGACACCAATCAGAGAGTCTATGGTAAGCAGAAAAGAAAATAATGTACAAGTATTCAGGAGTGCAGGAAGCACCCACTCCCAACTGAACAATTATAGCTGAAGATGAGCAATTTGTTACCTTTTTCAGTATTGTATCAACACATTTTCTCAAAGGGTGATTATACTTGATACTCTCGCTTACTTTACGGACTTCCTATTGAGGAAAAAAAAACACATTTGTTTCATGATGTTAAATATATTAAACAATTTTATAGGGTCAGGTAAGAGTTCCACAGCACTGCTAATGGAAAAGATAACATCAGAGATCTAAAACAACAGAACTTCCTAAAAGCCGCAGCCTTACTAACAACAGATAATTGAATGAGTATTTATAAAGAACATATGTGCATTTTAAAAAAAACCCACCCACAATATCTGTGTGTAAACATTACTCTGTTGATGCGTGGAGGATGTGTTTCTGTGCATGAATGCTGATATGGAAAATATTTTCTTGTTTTATTTATAGCTTAAAATGATGAATCTCTATCTTACTGGGTTTAGTTTCATTTTCATTACTTTAAAAGGCAGCTGAATATAATTCTACACTACTCAGTTTTATATCTTCTACACATTTATTTCCACATTGCTCACTTCTGAGATCATTTGCCATTTATCAATAAGAAAAGATACTGCCTAATAGCTAGACAGGTTGCACCAGAAGTCGAACAGTTTATCAGGCTTAGTGAGAACTAGATTTTGCTCTTCATCCTATTGTCAATCCAGAGATAATATTTTGATGCTTTTTTATTGTTGTAACAAAGAGCACTTTAAAAATAAACATATTAAGTTCTAAATTCTGGAGGATGGAAATAACTGTAAAGGTTTAGAAACACTGTCAAATAAGATAATTAGCAGATAGAAGAATTGTGTTTATTTAGTGTGACAAGGGAGGCTAAATGGGATACACACAATTCTTTAGCATATAAAAGGATGTTCTAACAGATGCCTGTCAGTTATTCTGGATTCCCCCTGAATCTTTTAAGAAATGACTACAATGACCACAAGAGATCTGCTTAGTCTGTGGCAAAGAAGTTTTTCATTATGTAGTGGGATTATGAAAAACAAACAAAAATTATTATTTGATACAGCAGAAAATAATAATATTTACAATCAGCTTCTCAGAGTCATCACTGGCATGCTTTGCAATTCTACTGCAATTTTTTCTCGACTGTAAGAAAAAAAATAATTGGGGGGGAAAAAAAGTGAAGTGCTAAACCTTGAAAAAGGTTTTATCATGCATTAATGAATTAACATTAATTCATGTTGTGTGTGACATAACCTCAGAATCTGTCAGTTATCTTATCTGACTTAAAGGACACTCCAGTTCAAGACAGTAGTCTAGTATAAGACCCTCTTTTCAGGGAAGTTTGCTGCTTCCCTGGGGCCCATATTAAGGCTGTCACCACAAGACTGAAGAGCTTAGCACAACATTCAGACTACCATAAGATACCAGGGAGAAGAGCACTCCATGCATCTGAATGACATTCTTAATAATTTGTTTTAACTTTTGGTCAGCCCTAAAGTAGTCAGACAGTCGGACTAGATGATACAGGTCTCTTCCAACTGGAATATACTCATCTATTCTGTTCTGTTCTAAGTACTAGTGGTAAACAAAAGTTTTGTTACTCTTTTTCTAGTATGCTTTGTAGTTATGTCTCCCTCAGATGTTTCTAGCAATTTCTTGAAAGTGCTACCACTGCAGATAAAAGATTCTACTATTATTTTATGCTGACATATCACAGAAGTTACCACCTTACCTTACAACTCTTCAGAAGTATTATCATAGAATCACATAGAATCACAGAATTTTAGGTGTTGGAACAGACCTTGAAAGATCATCTAGTCCATCCCCCCTGCCAGAGCAGGATCACCCAGAGCACATCACACAGGAACGTGTCCAGGTGGGTTTGAATGTCTCCAGAGAAGGAGACTCCACAGCTTCTCTGGGCAGCCTGTTCCAGGGCTCTGTCACTCTCATAGGAAAGAAGGTTTTTCTGATGTTTATGTGGAACCTCCTATGTTCCAGTTTGCACCCATTGCCCCTTGTCCTATCACTGGACATCACTGAAAAAAGCCTGGCTCCATCCTCCTGACACTTGCCCTTAACATATTTGTAAACATTGATGAGGTTGCCCCTCAGTCGCCTCTTCCCCAAGCTAAAGAGATCCAGCTCCCTCAGCCTTTCCTCATAAGGGAGATGTTCCACTCCCTTCACCATCTCTGTGGCCCTGCACTGGACTCTTTCAAGCAGTTCCCTGTCCTTCTTGAAATAAGGCACCCAGAACTGGACACAATATTCCAGATGTGGCCTCACCAAGGCACAATAGAGGGGGAGGAGAACCTCTCTGGACCTATTAACCTCACCCTTTTCAATGCACCCCAGGATGCCATTGGCCTTCTTGGCCACAGGGGCACATTGCTGGCTCATGGTCATCCTCCTGTCCACCGGGACCCCCAAGTCCCTTTCTCCTACACTGCTCTCCAGCAGGTCAGCCCCCAACCTGTACTGGTACACGGGGTTGTTCTTCCCCAGATGCAAGACTCTACGCTTGCCCTTACCGAATTTCATCAAGTTTCTCCCCTACCAACTCTCCAGCCTGTCCAGGTCTCACTGAATGGCAGCACAGCCTTCTGGTGTGTCAGCCACTCCTCCCAGTTTAGTGTCATCAGCAAATTTGCTGAGGGCACACTCCGTTCCCTCACCCAGGTTGTTGATTAAAATATTGAATAGCAATGACCTCTGACAGCTTCCTCAGCACCCATAGGTGCATTCCATCAGGACCAATAGATTTATGGATGTCCAGACTGCTTAACTGATCACTAGCCCAGTCCTCATCAACCAAGGTAAATTCCTCCTTCATTCTGACTTCCTCTGGGGCTTCAGGGGTCTGGGGCTCCTGAGGGCAGTCTCCAGCAGTAAAGACAAAGACAAAGAAAGTAGTGAGTAACCCAGCCTTCTTTATATTCTCTGCTCTCTATCCAGGGCAGGCACCTCATTTAGGAGTAAGCCTACATTGCCTCTAGTGTTAGTTTTATCTGCAATGTATTTGAAGAAGCCAAGTAGTGTTGGATACTGAGTAAGTATTATTTTCAAACGATGGTATCAGAGCAGAACAGGGAACAGCTATTCGATGTGTTGCACTTGCCCAGGGAGTCACCATCCCTGGACATTTTGAGGGTGGTTTGGATGTGGTGTTGGTGGATATGGTTTAGGGAAGAACTTTGTAGAGTAGGGATGATGATTGTACTCAGCAATCCCAGGGGTCGTTTCCAACCTGAACTGTTCTATGATTCTATGATTTACATTCTGTTCTTGAACTACATTAGAGCCTATTGCTCACTCACAAATATCAGTAACTGCACTCCCAAAAGAAAAAACTCTGAAAAAAACAATGATCTATATAGTTTCCTCTCAAAGAGCACATACCATGATTCTGTAAATCCAATCTGGAAACTCTTGTTAAGATTCCAGAATTATGCTGGAAGCGCAGCATAAAATCAGACATACCCAAATCGCATAAACAATAGTGAAACATCTGAACACTATATTTTCAAATAACCTCTGGCATGTTATTAATTAGTTAGCAATATTACTCCAAAAGGGTCAAAAAGTAATACAATGCAACAAAGAATGGCTCCCAAGCTACCATGGCTATCGTGTCGACAAGATCTTCACATCAGGAACTATTTTTATTGAGCATCCTCAAGTGGAACACTATGTTGATTTTCTGAATTTTCTGATATGTCACATCAAGTTCCTGCTATTTACATTTTCTTGCCAAAAGTGCCCAACACCAGGAATTTCAGAAATAATTAACAGCAGCCTCCACTTACTTAATAGCTGAAGCTAGTTACTTACCTCCATAATATCCTCTAAATTCTCCTCTGCATCTGCTTTTTCAGTCATAAGTTTGGCAGCTTTGAAATAGGTCTTCATGAGTAGATAACCCCTCTTGGCCCCATTCCAGTGAGAACGGGGAATTTCCACCAAGCCATAACCCAAAAGCAACACAAGAAGAAAAAGACCCCATGTGTTTGCAGCAGCTATCCCAATCGTCTGAAGTTGATTCCTAAGGAAAAAAAGCAGCTGCAAAAACAGAAAAACAAAACACAACAACCAACCAGCCAACATCCTCCTACTCCACCTACAAGAAAGCAACTTTGAAGTATTCATGCACCAATATGGCTTTCAAGTTTACAGGAATAGACTTAGCATCATCTGTGATTCTTACACAGGGCCAGTGTGCTACTGGGCCATATTTAAAGACCCATTTAATCTTCGGAAGAGATTCGCCATGACACCTCATGTAAGCTCTCACATTATTCTTACCATTGTAAATTGAAGTTTGGGTTTACCGCGACGTATATTAAAAATGCTCCAAAAATCAGTAAGTAAGTGCCATAATAGATTGCATTCTCAATCAACGCAGTTTTAATCTTTCCAGTAATGGAGAACCCTCCTGATCTAGCATATGACTGCATGAATGGCAGCAGAATCCTAGGAGGAGAGCAAACAAAATCAAACCACATCAGTCAACCAAAAAATAAAAGAAAAAAGTTTAGCAGTGGCAGGATACTAGACAGGGGTGTTTAAGCTAAAGCCTCCTAAGCTTCTAACAAAAACAGCTCATTATATGTTTTTATTCTAGATTTACTGGTTTGATGGCAAACCTTAAACAAGCTGCAGATAAAAACAATAGTAAGCTTTACTATGAAAAATCTGTGTTAATCAAGAAATAACAACCCTGATATTTTTGACTGAACTACAAAAGCATTTATTTGATGATAGGCTGGTCAGAAACCACAACTCAGTCTAACTCATATCTGCTCTAACTACAGCTACAGCTTTATACAGTGTACCAAATAATTTACAGTATTAATAAAAAATTACCCAACTTATTAATGGAATTATTTTGGTGTCCAGTGGCCTAAACTCATTTTTTTTTCCCAAACAATCAATTCATAAACACCTACACTTCTATGTGTAAATTGCTCAGTTTCAAGTATAAAAGTGAACCAAGGTTAAATTGTTTCCACGTGAAAAGGAGCAAAGAGAAATTTCACTGCTAGCAAACAATATATGACTAGTTAACACTGTGGAACAGTGATATATATTCTTTAAGAGTATGCTATGACAGTTGAGATGTTGCACTTAAAAATACCTAAATCATAGTCTTTGTCATATTATTTTGTCTTACTTACCAGGTCAAGAACTGTGATGTCCAATATACAACACGCCAGAAAATTGGCATAATTCCGTTAGGAATATAACTCCATGGTTTGAAACACTTTTGCTTACTGCAACATTGTAAAGAAGTTTATTGTTAGTCGTAGGGCCAAGAGTATAAAAAATATTTTATAAAAAATTCCCCTATCTAGAAAGGTCTTTGAAAATAACAGACAAGTAAAAGACTACTGTTGGAGTAAGCAATCAACCATAAACCATCCTAGAAGTAAATAACCTAAATTGTCACTTAAAAATATTTATCATTCTCATCACTGCAAATAATGTATATGGACAAGACAGCTTTCTTAGAGAAAATAACAGTAGCTCTGACAAAAGAAAAGTAAATAATTAAGCAACTTAAGGTTACAATTTTTCTTTTTGGGCAGTAAGTACTTTCTTCATGCAAAGAAAAATACATTTTTATAGACAGAAGACCATCCAACCTTAGGGCAGTAGGTTTTCAAAAAATATCTTGGAACCTCATCACCTAGTTCTACCACCTAGAGCATTTAGTGGTAAAAGAGTATTAGTTGTTTCTTCTGTCACCGAGCAGGACTTAGTCCAGTTTATATAAACTTTGACTTGTTGAGTCAATACTATTCTGCCACATAGTGTTTGATTCCAAAGACCAGAAACGTCACAAGAGTTTTTCAGTCAAGGGGGCAATTAAGTCAATGTAACACGAGTATCTGTGGAGAAATAACTGATGTTTTCCAGGGTCAAACTAGTTAAGCTTGAACTGTGAATTTTTACATACACAAAACTATCAAATCATTACAGAATGACAGGTAGTGTGACTGAAGGTTTCAAACAAAGTTTTAAGATACAAGTTGCACCAACACAGTATCTGCTCCATTACTAAGTTGATATTTCTATTTGATATACTGAAGTCATATCAAAGAATCATAGAATATGCTGACTTGGAAGGGACCCACCAGGATCATCGAGTCCCAGCTCCTGTTCCTATGTAAGGCACCCCAAGAATCACACCAAGTGCCTGAGAACATCAATGCTTCTTGAACTCGGGCAGGCTTGGTGCTGTAAATTGAAAGGCTATTGAATGGTTTCCAAACAATGTATTTACCTAACTATGTCCTGTATTTACTTAACTAAGTCTGGCAGGTTACTGTTCTCCCATCAATACACAACATCCAGATGGACTCCGCTTTGGGGCAACACACCTGGCATGGATGGACTTAAATACTCTGATCACAGTTAAGCACACTGCACACATGTACAATATGTTGAACTGGCCTATGGAGGCTAAAGAACCAGCAGGCATGGAAAGGGCTCACTTTCACCTACATTTCCTGTGCTTTAGGGATTACTTCCTTCCTGTCAGAAGACAGCAAACAGAGTTCTGTTTCTTTGGTAGAATATAGTAAATTCAAGATAAATCCTATATATGCACTTACAATAAGCAATTAGATATGCTACTTATATATTAACAAGCCTCCTAATTTCATTCCTAAGGTTTAAAATTAGATTTTTTGGGTTTAAAGTATTTAAGATTGCACAATCAAGATACCCATTCACCAAGGCCCCTCCTCACAGATAATCAAGGTTGCTGGATACCAGATGAACTAGACAGACTGGAGAAGTGGGGTAGCAGAAACTTAATGAAGTTCAATGGGAAGAATTGTAAGGTCTTGCACCTGAGAACACATAACCCAGAAGTGCAGTTCAGACTGGGATCCACTTGGCTGGAGAGCAGCTCCGTGGAAAGCGACCTGGGGGTCTTGGTGGATAACAGGCTCAACATGAGTGAACAGTGCTCTGCAGGGCCAAAGAAAGCCAACAGGATGCTGGGCTGCATCAACCAGGGCATCACCAGCACAGATAAAGAAGTCATCATCCTGCTCTAGTCGGTGCTTGTCAGACCACACCTGGAGTATTGTGTTCAGTTTTGGTCCCTGCTCTACCAAAAGGATGTGGACAGGCTGGAGAGGGTCCAGAGAAGGGCCACAAGGATGGTCGGAGGACTGGAGGACCTGACACACGAGGAGAGGCTCATAGGACTGGGTTTGTTCAGCCTTGAGAAGGCTTAGGGAAGACCTTACTGCCATGTTCCAGTACTTAAAGAGTGGCTACCAGGAAGATGGAGACTCCCTGTTTACAAGGAGTCACATGGAAAAAACGAGGGGTAAAGGGGCACAAGTTGCTCCTGGGGAGACTCCAGTTGGACACAAGAGGTAAATTTTTCACAATGAGGACATTCAAACATTGTAACAGTCTCCCAAGGGGTGTGGTAAATATCCCAAGTAGGACAGTTTTAAGTCCCAGCTTGACAGGGAGCTGAGCCATCTCATATAAACTAGAGTAGTACCTAGAAAGGTTGGACCAGATAATCCTTGAGGTCCCTTCCAACCTAGCATTCTATGATTCTATGATTGTTGGAAAAGCTTACTTCTATTGATTTAACAACAAAACAGAGGAAATTTAGCATGGGGGGAAAAAAATAAAAGGAATATTTAGGTTATCAGTCAGAACTACTGTATAAATTACCAACAATAGAAGCAGATGTATTTTTCTTCACCTCTGCCCTCACCCTTCCGTATGCTACAATCTTCAAATACTGTATCACATTGGTAACACTTATTTATTAATCTTAAAAACACAATACACTCCTGTTACTTAAAAATAAAAACAAAAAACAAACAACTAAAAAACCCCAATAACTTTTTAAAAGCAGTCTAATGAAGAATACATATAGCTGATACCTTGGAGCAAGCGTAACATAAGATTTTTTTTTTCAGCAGGACTGGAGTTGACAGCAAGCTTGCACCGATTATAAATAGTCTAAAAGTGAATTAATCTCTCATAAATAACCAGAAACATGTACAACAATTATTTATAAACAGTAATTCCCATTTTTAAAGACATTTCCTGTATTCCAGGTTTGCATTTGGAAGCAATTATAGTAATAAATGCTAAAGACAATGTGCAATCTGCAGGGCAAGTAAGTAAAAGACTTGTTTTTATGCTACCTAAGCAGATAAAAAAATTGCTATAAACAAGTAATAACATTCTAAAGCATGTGAAATAGTTTTGTTATCTGATGAGATCAACAAAAAATAAAATCACTTGTAAACACCAACATTATCATTCTAAAAGGTAACAAGTGTCCAGTTTAAGAAGATGCTAGGGAAATTTATTTGCTGTTTAAGATACTGTATTCTGAAATTATTATTTTTTAAAATTACCACACACATTATATGCAACTAAGCAAAAAACCTCACAAACTCCTTACCGTACTGACATCCAGAGGCAGTATGAATACAATAAGAAAGCAAAGATACCAAGCCAGTAATGTTGCTATGATCACCAGTCGATGCTGTTTCTTGAAGTCTCCATACCGATGAAGTAGGAACAAGGCCAGAAAAAAGACAAATACTATCTCAAGGCCCAGAGCTGCACCGCTCATTATTGAATGTTCACTCCAGACACACTTCACAGCTCACTTAGGAAAGCAGAACAGAACTGTAAAACAAAAAGACATTTCATTACATTAAAAGTTCTGGAAGATATTTATGCAGAAAACAGTTGTTTAAAAGACTTTTTTAAACATAGTAATAGACTATTCTTATTTCATTACAAGAATACTAATCAGAAGAGGAAAATAATTTTCAGAAAGTGCTTTATAGTCCTCTGCAGAAATAAAAATATCATGTAATTTCAATTTTGTCATTTCTAGCAACATATTAGGGCAACTCTTCATCTTCTTGATATACAATAGAACCAAAAGTGAAATTTCTGCCCTTGAGTAAGACTAACTTTTTAGTCCAGTATGAACTTCAAAGGAAAATCTACTAGGCTCTTTTTTTTTTTTTTTTCTTTCAGTAAAAATCAACTGATTTAGAAAAAGGTTTAAATGCTTAAATTAAATGTTTCTGGAAAGCTCTGTTAACAGACTGTCCTCAAATATGCATTTAAATTCTATATTCAGAGTTAACAGAGCACAAAAATACAGCAGAGTGTACGTTAGTCTACTTAGTGATGTATCTCTTTTAGGTTTGAAATTTCATCTAGTAAGAGGCAACATGCTAGCTAATTTACCTTCCTATCCCTCTTCTATTCTTCTTCAGAGAAATAAAGGTCTCCATTAATTCATTACTAGTTTTGTCATGACACACTTCTGTTTTGCTCATCCTGGGTTAGCAAATCTAAGGTCAGGACTGCTAGAAATGCCTAGAAGTTCATACATCTTCATAGAGGCATGCTATTATAAAAAGAGCCAGTGAGCTGCACAAATATGTCATTGAAAATTTCACTGACTTGTTAAATAATAATTTAAATTGTTTATGACCTTTTTAATAAGCATCATTTTACCACAGGCACTTAACACATTTAGGAAAAAAAAACGTTTGTCACTCTGGTCAGCTTGACTTGCTTCTCCATGGACATTACCATTCTGATTAACAGATTTTTTCTTAGTATGACTACCCAACTGTTGTATTTGCAGTGCTTTCACTTTTCACTGGGACTTTAAATAAGTGCTACTACTTATATTTCCCTGAATTTACTTTTAAATCCCTTGTAATTGGTTAAAGTGAACATTTCCTTTACTAATCTGTCTGCTTAAGCAGATCTGTTATGTATGAACACACTAAGCAGTGAAAATCGCCTTATTTTGACTAAGAAATTTCAACATTTGTGATCCCAGTACTTCCTTGAAGGCACACTGGATCATTATTCTTTGGGTTTTTCCACAAGGACTTGTTTCCCCTCATTTTGTTACTTTCATGTTTAATTTCCAAATAGTGCAAGCAGCCTGTTTACTCCATGTCAGTTGCTGTACACTGAGCACCCAACATTCTGAAAATAACTTTAGTTACCTTGCTCTTTTTATCTTCTGCATTTAATCTAATGGGCTTCTGAAATTACTAGCATTTTTGTTGGGTCAAAGCATCCCCTTACTATCCCTCTGTACTACATTTTAGTTAGATCATTTGTGAGTCATGATGCAAGCAGTCTAACCTATTTCTCAATCACTTATTCCAAGCAAGTTCTTTCCTATTCTATCGCTCCATTCTTTTTTCTCAGAAAAGAATTTTTAGTATTGATAGCATAGTAGCAAATTCCACCAAAAAAAATGAACAGATAAGAAATATTATATATTGTCTTTTCTAAGGCAGTACTATCTAACACACATAGCTTTATGCGTTCATTACAGCCACACCTTATGCTACGTAAACAAAAAAAATTATACAGTATATCCTGCATTAGTCACTCCTATACAATTTTTTACTAGAGTCACACCTAAAATGTTTCTATCAAAACAGAAGGCAAGAAGTTTTTTGCACAAGATGCTGCAGTCAATACTGCTGGGAACCTGCAGAAAGATTATAAACACACACTGAATATCCTAAAATAGAGTCCTACAACTTAACTCACTTTCAGAGCCAAAAGCAAAGCTGCAGTCACCAAAATAAACTGCCTTTTTTCTGTTCTTCAGCTCGTTATTTTAGTATCAAAATATAAAATGAAAGGCCTAATTTTTATGAAAAAAAACCAAACACAAAAAATCACAATTGATGACAAGTAGAGTTGTTTTGAAATATTGTATATACATATTAAAAAATACTGTTAAACAGTTTTAGACAGAAACCACTTAAAGCTATTTCTCATAACAAATAGCTTAAGTGGGAAAAAAATCCAGAAGGTGATAAATGCAATGCTTGATAGGAGTTCTTACTGTGAACAAATCCTGTCTAACAGCACTGCTCTATTCGGGACCCATATAACTAGAATTTTCTGTATCAGACATTAAAATGTATTACTGCAGGCCACATAGCCATGCCTTCCTGTGTTAAGCAGCATTTACTTCTGTATCTGTTTGTTAGCTCCAAAAAAGGTAAGTTCCTTATTTAGACAGGCTTCTCACCATTAGCACACAGCTCCCTAGTATCAGCTGGCTGAAATTCCTGAACCCCTTTAGAATGTTCTCCCAATATCAATTAACTACTTCAGGAGAGTTCTCTTGTACTGCACAATCTTCAACTGCTTAGAAGATGCTCCCACTAAACAATGACAAAAAGTAACAAAATTCCTCACTCCAAAAGGAAGAGTATCAATTGGCATACTCTGTTTCTGAAGAGTAAAGCAGCTACAGATTTATACAAATAAGAGTAAAAGCTGAAACACTGGCACTGAAGTGCAATTTAACCAGTGAAAGACAAGGAGCTTCTTGTGTAGGCTTAGGATTTTCTTGGGTTTTTTTTCAGACACACAGAAAAAATCAGTACGTTTTCAGTTTTGTGAATGGAAGAGTTTGTTCCCATATAGGATATACATTTCAAAATTCTGACACAAAATCCTCTAGAGACCAAACCCAGTTAATAACTCCCTGCAAGCACCACAAATGACTCAGTTCACACTTAATTCCCTTGAAGCCTCCCTCCTACCAACCGTATTAAATTACTTTGCAAACCTTATGCCTAACCGCACTCATGACCATCTACATTACAAATGAACTGACTGCTCTGTCTGGTACAGAAATACTCAAGTTACTAAATTAAACAGTAGAGAATGAAAAATCTATCTTAGAGCTTCTATACAGCATCAAATCTAACAAATACATTCCACTATTATATTCTTAAAGGCTAACAAGAATAGAGTGTATCTGTGAAGTACCTTGGTCTCACTAAAATGGACTCCTACAAGCCTTTAATCAGAAAATTCAGATCAGACTGCACCACAGTTTTAGTCTTTTCAGACTTTGCAGGAAAGCATTTTACCTGATAATTCTGTAGACCAATGTAACTGGTATTTCAACCCTTCCCAGTCAGTTTTACAGCACACTGTCTTCTGATTTCTCATTGCTGTCCTCACTCTCCCCAATTTACCCACCTCCTTCTAAGCTAATGACTTAGAAGGCTTGAACCAGGAGTATAGATTGCTTCACATGCCTTACTGAAAAGTATATATATAACCTCCATGATGCTCCCTCCACATATGCCAGTTATATTCTCTAAATCCTTTCCCTTTAAGAAGTAGGGTACCATGGAATAAAGCCCTGGTGAGGACAGCAGCCCAAGAAAGCTGGTCAGTATGCAAAGATCACCTCCTCGAAGCCTAGAAGCAAGGCATCCCACCAAAGAGGAAGGCAGACAAGAATGCCAGAAGACCAGCATGGATAAACAAGGAGCTCCTGGACACACTTACATGTAAAAAGAAAGTCCACAGGCAGTGGTACAAAGGACAGGCAGCCTGGGAGGAGTACAAAGAAGTTGTCTGCACAATGAAGGACGGGGTAAGGAAAGCTAGCAGGTTTCTACCAGTGTATCAGTGACAAAATTTTTCAACTGGGGAAATTGTGGGCCCTCTCCAGAAGGGAACAGGAGACACACAGACTGGAAAAGGGGAAAAAAACTCCACATTTTCAAAAAGGAATAAAGGAAGATGTGGCAAACTACAGGCCAGTCTCACATTTCTGCCTACCAAGATTATGGAGAAGATCTTCCTGAAGGCTCTGCTAAGGCACATGGAAAATGTGGAGGTGGTTGCTGGCAACCAACAGTTTCAGCAAGGGCAAATAGCACCTGACAAATTTGGTGGCCTTTCATACTGGGGTCACACTGTCTGTGGACAAGGAGAAAGTAACTGATGTCATCTACCTGTACAAAGCATTTGACACTATTCCACATGACATCCTGGTCTCTAAATCGGAGAGATATGTATTTAACAGATGGACCACTCAGTGGATAAGGAACTCTCTGCATGGTCACATTCAAGGAGAAGTGATCAATGGTTCAATGTTCAAATGAAGACCAGTGACGAGTGACATTCCTCAGGGGTCATTACTGAGACCATTGCTGCTTAACATCTTTGTCAGTGACATGGACAGTGGGATTGAGAGCACCCTCAGCAGGTTTGCTGATGACACCAAAGTGTGTAGTGTGGTTGACACTATGGAGGGGAGTCCACCCAGAGGGACCTTGACAGGGCTTGTGAAGTGGGCCTATGCCAAATTCATAAAGCTCAACAAGGCCAAATGCAAAGTCCTATGCATGAGTTGGGGCAATCCCAAGCACAATTACATGCTGGGTGGAGAACGGACTGAGAGCAGCTCTGAGGAGAAGGACTTGGGGATGTTTGTTGACAAGAAGCTCAATGAGAGCCAGCAATGTGCAGCTGCAGCCCAAAAAGCCACGGTGTCCTGGGCTACCTCAAAAGATGTGTGGCCAACAGGTCAAGGGAGGCGATTCACTCCCTCTACTCCACTCTTGCGAGACCCCACCTGGGGGTCCAGCTGTGTCCAGCTCTGGAGCCCCCAGAACAAGAAGGTCACGGAGCTCCTGGAGGAAGTCCAGAGAAGCGCCGTAAAGATGTTCAGAGGACTGGAGCACCTCTCCTATGAAGACAGGCTGCAAAAGTTTGGGTTGTTCAGCCTGGAGAAGAGAAGGCTCCATGGAGACCTTATATCAGCCTTCCAGTATCTGAAGGGGCTACAGGAAAGCTGGGGAGGGGCTTTTTGTAAGAGGGTGTAGTGATAGGGCAAGGGTAGATTTAGGTTAGAAAGAAATTCTTTACTGTGAGGGTGGTGAGACACTGGAACAGGTTGCCCAGGGAACCTGTGGCTGGCCCCTCCCTGGAAATGTTCAAGGCCAGGTTGGAGAGCAACCTGGCCTAGTGGAATGCATCCCTGACCATGCAGGGAGGTTGGAACTAAATGATGTTTAAGGTCCCTTCCAACTCAAATCACCCTAGGATTCTATGAAACTCCACACTGTTCTCTGTCCTGTATTTGCATAGGTGATTGCTCCTGCTCAAACATAGGCACAGACTCTAGTCATTTGTACCCTTTCCCCTTCAACAGGCTTCTGAATCTTCAAGGCACTTTGATTTCCAATACCACACTCAAAAAGGTCTGCAATACCTCCTAGCTTTGTGCCTTCCTTCGTTTCAATAATCAGTATTTTCACAAAAAATTTCCATAATGAAATAACGTGAAGAGGACTTGACATGGGACTGGCCTTCTTAATCACAGCTGTCCCAGCTGTGCCTCCTTTGCAAGGACTATTCTTCCCCAGTAAAAACATTCAGAGAAACAGAACCAAAACAAAATAAATTCTAAGATATCAGCTGATTACCTCATATACAGTAAGCCTATCATTAAAATAAGTCAGATTACTTCAATAATGTCCTTGACAAAATTATGCTGTCTTTTACTCAGCTGTTATATTCTAGTGCTTATAAATAGCTTTTGTTCCAGGTTTGTTTTTTTTTTAGGAATTCAAAAGGAAGCAGAATAGTCTGCCAATCTGTTCTCCCTATCCTTCAAAAATTAGTAATAAACACAGTCACCATTCTTGTTATTTCTGAAGTATTATTGGGTAAAGATAAACAAAGTAATTTTGAAAAGTTACATATCTAGAAATCTTAGGTGTTTCAGTTAAAATACCTGAAGAACCATGCAGCTAGAGATTTCCTTGCCTTACTCTGTAGTTTAAATATCTGGGGAAAAAAAACCAAACTGTCAGCAAGAAAGTCACCAACTATCAGAGAGATATGAAAGATAGAATGTACAAACTGACTAAGAGCTGCAGAAAACCGAAAGAAACATCTATGCAACAGCATGTCCCACCTCAGGCTGAATTCACAACTTGGCAGCGAGCATAAACTGAAAGCTGCCACCTGCAGCAAAATATTAATGGCCAGTTCCATGATGACCTTTTGCCTTTCTGTCAGGGAATAATCTGCTAGTTGCTAGTGAGTTTCTTCAAAAACTTGGCAAATGAAAAATGGTTTGCCACACCACCTGTGACAGACTTCTGAAACCTGCCCTACTCTACAAAACTATGCTGCTAACAATTCTAAAGTAAGACTCCACTTTACAGACTCGATTAAACCTTTTGGACTGACAGAACTGCCCCACACTAAGAGCTGCCCTTGTCACTTCATATTTAAACAACAAAACGGGCTAATTTCACATTTTAGAAATCTTAAAGAGAGCAAAACAAGAGGTTAAGCAACAATAACCTCTTCAGCCATTGTTATACCCAAGTCTGCTTAGTGTGTTGCTGGAGTTTTTTTGTTTGATTTTGCACTTGTTGGGGTTTTTTTTGTTTGCTTGGTTGTTTTGGGTTGTTCTTTTTTTTTTACTTCCTTATTACACACCGACCCTTGCAGCTTGGAGAAAGAGTATTTAAAGGCAGATAACAAAGAGCTCCTTAATCTCAGCCCACTGAGAAAACCACCTGAAGAAAGAGAATAGCCATGAACTGCCTGAGCAAACTGCCCAGAGAAGTTATCCAGTTATACTATTTTGGAGGAATAACCTCTAAGATGAATCAAGATCATATAATTTGCATAGTTTTGTTTTTCTAAGAAACACTGTCTATGTATTGATTTATATTTTATAAGTAACTGTAACTTGAACTCTCTTTCAATGAAGAAAAGATTTTAAATTGATTAAACATTCACCTGCCGGGAAAACAAGTTTTGTATCTGCTAATGACAAGAAACAAATGATAAAACGTTGCACTGACTCCATTCAAAATAGCATTATTTTCTGTATCATGGGAGACTCTATTCTGCATCAAAGAACTACATAAAAGACAAATGCTTTACTTAGGCACATAGAGATTTTTGTGTTCAAAAGCAAGCAGGGACCACCAATACAAGGAAGATTATTCGCTTTACATGGAGCTGTCTTGTCCTCTAATAAAGGCTATTAAGTATCAAAAAAGTTGATGCTTTCATAATATTTAGGGGAATACTCTGGAATTAACACATTGAAGAATACATCTTGCCTGGAGAAACTTAAATAGAAGCCAATACAAAAGCTGTACAGTTCCAGTAAGAATAATAATAAAAAAATAATAAATTGCTACCCAGGCTGCCAGACTAATACACTCACACAAAACAGGTGTCAATAAAGCAGTCGATCACGTGATTGCAAACCTAACGTTGCATTAAGACAAACTTAGACTATTTAGTAACTCAGAACCTTTTAAAAAATAATTTTATTTTATACCCCTTTCAGCAAATTCTTTTAATTTCACCTGCATTAATAGAGAAAAGTAAAAAGCTTGAAAAAAAAACCCAAACAAAACAGAGGGGCTGCTGAACAAGTTAAATATAAACAGCTTATTTTTTTAAAACTAAAAAAACACCTTGCTTTCGTTTGATTACCCACTCAGACAACCTTTAAACAACAGCTCTATGACTTCAGTTAAAACTGGAAACACTGAACAAAACTTATTTTTTACATTTGCAAGAACGCAAATTCGAGTCACATCACTGCCTGCATCTGAGTTAATAGCTGTGTGTATCTGTCACGCGTCCCACTGCCACCTCTAATTTCACAGGCACGTCCCTCCATCGCTACGCAGTAAACAAATGGCAGCACCGACAGGCAAGTGGCTGAATGAGCGTGGAGTTGTAAGCGTATTCAGCACTATTTTCCCACCCCCACTCATTTCAAAACAAGCAGTGCAGGGAAAAAGCACGAAGCGCCGCGCTACGGAAAGGAAAGCAAGCCTGGCAGGAACCCGGAACGCGGTGTGAAGAGATGACAAGAGTTTAAACCAGCGCGGTTGGGGACAGGAATAGAACACGCTGGCAGACCCTCGATCTCAGGCCTTCGCAGCGATGGCGTTTCCAAAACGCGGGGAAAACTTTCACGGTAAAATTTCACCGTCAGCACGACCCTGGTCCTTCCGAGGCA